CAGACGTCATCAAGAGTTTTGCTGGAAAAAATAAATAAATGAAATTAATACATGAATGTTTGTTCAGGAGAAAAGATTGAACAAAGTGTTTCTCACCAGCAGAGCTCGTCCTTTAGTTTCAATCGGCAGCAGAAAGTTTCCCACAGCACAGATGACACATGTCACAGCAAACGGACTGAGTGCCAGAATCACTGACTGAGACATCAAAACCTGAACGCACCACATTCAATTGATTATGATAATAATTATGCTGACATTAGCTGTTAGCTAACATTCTCACTATCTCTAACATGGATGACCAACCTGAGCCATAAATGGCGCGAGCATTCCTCCGATCCGACTGAACGACGTGCAGAAACCCATCCCCAGAGACCGAGCCACAGTCGGATACACCTGAGAAACGAAAAACCATCTGTTACCTGAGACCTTATCAAAAAAAATCCAACCAAGTTAAAAAACTGCAGTAGAACAAGTGTGGACAAACCTCAGCCGTGTAGATGTAAATCACATTAAAGTTCATAGAGACCAGAGACCGCAACAGGAACAGCAGCACTGTGAAGCCAAACCTGGATACAAAGACAGACAGGACAGAATGGACCATTGTCCTCATAAACCTGTACAGTCGGACTAGATAAGCAGAGAAGAGTGTGAGGCTATTACATGGTGGTGCAGATGTTGACCATCATGAACAAAATGGCTGCCAGCAGCTGCAGCACCGTCAGAGTCTTTCTCCGTCCAACCACATTCAGCAGACAGATGTTTAACGGGATCACTAGGGGGACAGAGGAGGAGGCGCCGTTGTAATGAAACACTCAAGACGCCCTGAACTTCGTCTGAACTCATTTCGACTCACATGCAACCTCTCCCAAACAGCTGATGAGCAGAGTCTGGTAGTCTCTGAGTCCAAAGGGGATGCAGTAACACAGTCCGTCCTCTTGGCGGTGTTTGACCTGATGTTCCTGGTCAGCGTCCGTCACACACAATAAATTTTTTTCCAACAGCTCCGAACTGCTCAGCACCGAACCGTAGTACGCAAACGACGCCACAAACCTGAAACCACAAAAGACCAAAGGTCAGAAACTAAAACATGATCCTATATTGATTCAACTACAGGAAGTAAAAATACTTTTAGTCTCAAATTCTTATTTTAAAAAAAAAGTTGGCGACTGAAAGATACATTTGGATGCAGAGGTTAAGGGACTGTCCCACAATCCTACAGGATGTGACATCACAACTATTGTGACAACTATTACTAAGTTCACACTGCAATCTTTCTGCAGTTCACACAGAACAGACAGTTTTAATGTTTATCTCACAAACAATAATGTTTGCAACACTTCTTGTAGCCTACTGTTTCAAAATAAAAGCACTTCAGCATTCCTGTTGACTGAATCCAATCATTTATTTTTAAAAGGTTTTTCTTGTGAAATATTTGCATCAGCAGAAAATGCACAGCTTCACGCTGTATAGTACTTGTATTTATTTGAGTAGACAGTACTACTTTTATACAAGGAAGTAGTATAGTTATACCAGAAACCTCAGAAAGGCTGTAGTTAGATTAAAAGGTAATGTAAAGATAATGGGCAGTTGTCTTTTTTTTTTTATTTATTTAGGGTTAGCAGTAGCACCACATGTACATGTCTGTACAAGCAAAACATGAGGAGTCGTATTGTGACTGGTCTGTGTTTATTGTACTATAATAGTGTATTAAATTATAGTTTAATATAAATATTGATGCAACTCCAGTCAAACAAGTACAAGACTGAGATCATCATATTTTGTATCTGTTTTTATTAGGTTTTATTATTGTGACTCTCCATAACCACTTCATTCTGCCCTTATTTCGAGTTGTACTAATCAAATCTGGTAAAATATTTCAATAGGATTAATTGTATTGTTTTTTAATTGAGTTCTTCTGAAAAATGTTATATAAAATATCATTACCAAGAATACCACAGGAGTAAAGACGTTCTCCTGTAAGAAGAACTGACCAGAATCTTCCAACTACCTCGTTCTACCTGAAACACAAACATATATAACATAGCAATAATAACATCTACACCTTTAATAATAACATCTAACAATAACTTGACACATAACATTTAATAACTTTAAAATATCTGAATGTACCTCAGCCGTCTCAACCAGTCGTCCTGGAGGAAGTGATGCACGGTTCATTTTGGCGATCCACTGCAGAGTTTTAACGGCAGCCTGGACGTTTCCTGCCGACACGTTGTAACGAGCTGATTCTGGTATAAACTGAAACAAATCAACACAAATGTTGTTGATCCTATGATTTCAAAACATGCATCTTCATGTGATGGTCAGTTAGTACTGGATCTGGTGGATTTAACTTGACGTATACATGTAAATATAAACAGCTGGGGTAAAGAAGACTGACCTTGAAGAGGAAGATGAGGATGACGCTCGGAGCCACAGACATTCTGATCATCCACCTCCAGCCCAGAGTCGGAACCACCAACATGCCCAGGATGATGATGAGCATGGAGCCCGTCATCCAGAAGATCTGACACACAGAGACAGAGAGCATGCTGAGATACGTCCTGACAACAGACACAGGAGTGATGTTTGGCTTCAGACTCACGGAGGCCAAAGGCAGCAGGTATGCTCGATACTTCGCTGGTATAAACTCCATCTTCAGCACGAACCTGAAAATCACAACATTTAAAATATGATTTAAAATGAAATAATTTCATGATTTGTTAACTTCATTTAAATGTTTTAACATTTTCATCATAAACAAATCACAGAACTTTGATTGAATTTTTAAATGGTCATGTTTAAATAAAAGTTGAAAATCTGACACGAAAAATAATCAGATGTTATTAAAGGTACAGGATAGTAGAATTTAGTGATATCTAGTGTTGAAGTGACATGTTGCAGCTGAACACCACCCCTCCTACCAAACATGAAAAAGAACCTGTGGCAGCTTCAGTCGTCATAAAACTCAAAAAGTGTTTAGTTTGTCCAGTCTGGACTAATGTAAAAAACATGGCTGCCTCCGTAGAGAGGGTCCCCTCGATGTAAATATAAAGTATTTATATATAAAGTGCCTTTTCTAGGGTAAAGAAAACTATAATTCATACAATTTAGATGAAACAAACTATTGAAAGCAGCATGATGATTATTCTACATTAAAGTTCTGCCAATAATTCCCTTTCATCTAAATCTTACACACTGGACCTTTAAACGTTGTGTTAATGTTGCCATTTTTAAATCAATCAATTAATTCATTAAGCAATCAGTTAATTCAAAGAGAAGATCAATGAAGGAACTAAACTTTGTCTTTGATTATCTTCAACTTCTATGTAAAAAGCAAAAAAGTTTTTATCAAATGAAATACATTATATTTTACTAAAAATTATAATTAATTTACTGTCTTGAAGAAATTATGTGTGTGTGTGTGTGTGTGTGTGTGTGTGTGTGTGTGTGTGTGTGTGTGTGTGTGTGTGTGTGTGTGTGTGTTGATCAGCTAACCCCTGTGACACTCCTGCGACACCGCAGCCGACCATGCTGCGCAGGAAGATGAACCAACCGTACGATGGAGCAAAGGAGGTGAGGAGGGAGAAGTAGGCGCTCCACACGAAGCCTCCGAACACCACCTGCGCACGCACACACACGCACACACTTATACATATGGTGCCACCAAACATGATGCATGTGTGAAAATACTGAGACGCGTTGGACCTTCCAGCGTCCGTATCTGTCGGAGATGTATCCACTGAGAACGCCACAAACCATGAAACCAAGAAACACCATCTGAGAGAAAAAACACAGGTGTTTGTCCATTACCGGTCGTCAAAACAACATGTAGAAACCTGCACAATATCATCTGATTTTTAACAAAATGGCAAGAACATTATTATTGGTAAAATTGGTAGTAAAGTTTACACAAATTAAAAATCAATCAAAGAAAAAACTCACAGTAGAGACGAGCGCCACCTGCCAGTCATCCAGACGCCACTCACAACGAATCTCAGGAGAAACGATGGCCAACAGCATGATCTCCATCGCCTCCACAATCTACACACACGTACACACACCCACAGAGTGAGTTGAGGTGCATAAATTATGTGACAAACACCTGATACCTGCTCTCTGACACCATTGAATGTGTGTGTGTGTGTGTGCGTGTATGCGTGTGTGCATGTGTAGAATCAGTGACTCACATTCGAGCTCCCCATGATGAGGAAGAGGAGGATGTGGAAACGACCGAAGCCAATGGTTTCAACAGCATCTTCAACCGTGAATGTCTGATCATCTGCAACACATGCATGCATGCACGCACACACAGTTCAGGTGTCCTGTCACCACCTGAGAGTTCAGGCTCTGGGGTGACTGGGCTGGCGATTTGTTGTTTCATGTCGTTGGTACTGATCTGAAACGATGTTGATCACATTTATTGATTATTGATCTCACTCACCATCGCTGCAGCTCTTTGTACCCTGCTGGTCCTCTGGAGGCTTCTCCTGCAGTTCCACCTCCTGCAGATGGATGGCGCTCACCAGCTGAGTCTTCATGTGATCATTCATCCTGAAAACACATGTG